AGCCTAAGGTATTCACATACCAGCGGAGCAAATAACGACATGAATAGACTTCAAGACCTCGACGAGGCCGAAGAACGAAGGGACATGGCCCACATAAGAATGGCGGCCCAAAAACAACAGGTCGAAAGGTATTACAACAAAAAAGCCATAATAAGACCACTCAAAGTGGGCGATTACGTCCTCAAAGCCAAAACATTGGCATCAAAAGACCCGAGCGAAGGGAAACTGGACGCCAATTGGGACGGACCATATAAAATCATAGCAGCAGCGAGCAAAGGAGCATTCCAGTTGGAAACAATGGAAGCCAAAACACTCCAAAACAACTAGAACGTCGCCTACCTCAAGTACTTCCATTTCTAAAAGGCGTCTACCGAGTCGTACTCTTTTTCCCTTGCCCGAGTTTTGTCCCAATTGGGTTTTCTCGGGGAGGTTTTTAACGAGGCGGCAGAGGGGACACCGGTGTATCTGAGGGCAAGTTTATCATATCACCCACTCGACGTGATCTCCAGGCCGATATAATAAAGGGACTAGCCTAGTTGAATCTCCATTGTGTAAACGGCTAAGGCCACCATCTCCATTATGTAAACGGCTAAGGCCACCATCTCCATTATAGAAACGGCTAAGGCCACCATCTCTATTGTGTAAACGGCTAAAGCCACCATCTCCATTATGTAAACGGCTAAGGCCACCATCTCCATTATAGAAACGGCTAAGGCCACCATCTCCATTGTGTAAACGGCCAAGGCCATCGCCATTAAACGTCGACCTTGCTCGACGACGACGGATAGCACTCCAACGACAGTTGAAGTTACATCCTATTGGCCAAGGCCATCGCCATTAAACGTCGACCTTGCTCGACGACAACGGATAACACTTCAACGACAGTTGAAGTTACATCCTATTGGCTAAGGCCATCGCCATTAAACGTCGACCTTGCTCGACGATGACGGATAACACTCCAACGACAGTTGAAGTTACATCCTATTGGCTAAGGCCATCGCCATTAAACGTCGACCTTGCTCGACGACGACGGATAGCACTTCAACGACAGTTGAAGTTACATCCTATCGGCTAAGGCCACCACCAATAAACGCCGACCCCGCTTAACGATGACGGATGACACTTCGACGACAGTCAAAGTAACATCCCCTTGGCAAAAGCTATCGCCATTAAGCGTCAGTCAAGCTCGATTACGACGAACAACATTCAAACAACGGTTAAGATTTCTTCTTGTTTTATTCACTAAGATCGGGTTTCGACTTATCTACGACGGCGGTTAGCCCCAGGGGACCACCCCCTAGACCGCCTATACCACTTCGGCGTTACCCAGAGAGGCGGCGAATCTTCTACAAACAGACAGATACCGGCTCTACGAAGGTGAAGGTCCGAAAAACAAAGAATCACACAAAAAGAATTAACAGCAACGGTATGATTCATACATTGTGACAAAAAGTATATACATTCGGTCCCGCAAAGGGCCCCCATTACATTCTACAAAAAAGCAAAACATATACAAATTCAAAGGAGCCTCGCCATCATGCCCATCGCCCCCCGTCTGTTCGCCATCTCGGCCGTCACCAGCGAGGCGGTAAGCTTCATTGAACCAGGAGACAGAATCCATCCGATTAATGTCCTCTGAAGCATAGCCCTCCCGGTCGGGGGAGTCAGAACTATATCCGCAGACTGCCCGAGCGGCACGAGCCTCATGCCACTGCTCCTGAACCTCCTCCTCAGTGGCACGACCCGCAAAGAGAAGTTTCTTGTATACGTCCAGTCGGGCCTCCGCATAAACCCACATCTCACGTGCATCGCGACGCGCATCCTCGTCAGACAAGAGCGGGGAAAAAGAAGGTCGATCCACGTCTCCAGGCCTTGGTAGGACAGTACGCCTAAGAGCGTCGACCTCTGCCGCCTTGACTTCGAGTTCGGCAGTCATGGCCGCCACCCTATGGTGCAAATCGGCAACCTCTGCCGCCACCCCACGACTAAGCTCCAACTCCTCTTCCCTCGATTTGAGGAGTGATTCCAGCTCACTGTTACGAGCCACAGCCTTCACCAACTCCTCATCAGTCTTCTCCAACTCGGCCACCCTGCGCTTCAATTGCACCTCCTTCTGTTCAAGACCTTCCCGGAACACTCGAAATTTGGGGTCCTGTTGGAAAAGGTCCACCGCCGCCTGATGCTTGGAGCGACACCTCTTATACTTCTTCACCATTTTATTGAAAATGGTCGCTTTCTTCTGCTCGCGACGCCTCCTCTCCGCCTCCAAAACAAGGGTCTAAGGAGAAAACATGAGTTAGTACACATCAAAGTCAACCTCACAACACGCGGAAGAACAGAAGTTTACCTGTAAAGTCATGCCGGCGACCCTTCGAGATAGCTCCGCATCACTGACGGCTCTTAGCATTTCACACTCGGGGGCGGCACATAACAAAGCCATCTCCAACGCCGCCTGCTCGCTGTGTTGCAATAAGTTATAAGCCCCCAGAATCACGATTCGGCAATCGGATCCGTCCGCCGTCATCTCCACATGCGTGAGGCCTTCCGCCAGCCCGTCCATATCTTCTTGGGCGATCTCAGGGTCCGATCCCTCAGCATCCCCACTAACGGCGGATGTCGAGCCAACCTCAGCAGCACGAACTGAGCTAACATCGGCAGCCGCACTCGCCTGATGGGCCGGCCTCCCCGAACGAATAGCGTCGGCCATGAAGACGGGTCTAGGCGTTTGACGAGGCACGTTACTCCTCTCATCCTCGGTCGCTACCGCCTTGCCCGTTTCAAGCCTCTGCCTTTTTCTCTCCTCAGGCTCCCCGCTTCGGAAGGCTCATCCGCAGGCTGCGGAAACGGTGCCGAAGGTGTCGCCTCATTCGTAGTCGCCTCTACAGGCGTAACCCCTTGTAAAGGAACTACGGGAACACCCTCCCTGACAGATGCGCAAAGTATCTCCCGAGCAGCCGGGCCGATATCCGATCGAGCGAGGGTAGATACCGTCGCCTTCTTCTTGGGAACGCTTCGACCTGTCGACACAAATAGTTCAGTTGATGAAGTTTGTGGAAACAACCGATTAAAGCCAAAGAATTACCTGAAGGTCCTACGGGGCCGTAGCGTTGAAGGAATGCGGACCATGTGCGGGTTTCTTCAGCATAAGACAGCAAACCGGCTACCCATTGCTTGATACCGGTAATGAACCGGGGTGCGTGAGCCATTGCTGCAAAATAAAAGGAAAAAGTCATAACGATGGTGCGACCAGAACCGCTGAGGTTACGTATGATGAAGAATTCGACGGATGGGAACGCTTACGTTTCGAATTCCACCTCTCTGGGAACCTGACAGGGTCAGACACCAGGTGCTCCGTTTTAATAAAGAAGTACCTACGCCAATAACCGTGGCTGGGTCGGTCATCGGTCTTGATGACCAGCCCCTTCGAACCACGGCTCTTCAAATGCAGCATGGTACCCCTTAGATAACTGGCGCTGAACAACTGCAAAAGGTGGTGGACGGAGACCTCACACCTAGCCAGCTCTGCGTATGTAGACATTATCCTGTATACTTTTAAGGTGTACGGAGTGAGTTGGGATGGACACATGTTGTAAAAGCGTCAAAGCTCCTCCGCCAAAGGAAAGATGGGAAGACCATAACCAATTAAAAAAGGATATTCATAGAACGAGCAATATCCAGGTCTGTGGACGTTCGCATAATCCGTCCCCGCTGGGACCATCTCCATATGAGCAGGTATGCCGAACGACGTACGAAGGTCATCTAAGTTATCCTGCATTAACTCAGAATTCTCCGAGGGCTGCGCGGGGGAATCCTTTTGGAAGTCTCTCCTAACAAGAAGTTGCTTCGGTAACACGTTGTCCACGGTAAGGGGGGTGAGTTCCTCTTCTCCGTCTCCCTCGTCACCGCCAGATGGAGGTAGTACATCGGACGACGTATTATCAAGAGCCTTCGGATTATCATCCCTTCGGGGCTTTGCCATAATTTTCGTCCAGGAAACGGTGTATGACACAACGAAAAGTGTGATTTTTGAGAAACGGTGGGGGTTCGAAGAAAGGAAGTGCCTTCTTAGAAGGTCAGGAAATGCTTGCAAATGATCGAAAGTTGGATCAAGTTAAACTCTTCCTCTACTTATAGGGTTGGGTGGCGTTGAAATCGAAGAGGCGGAATTCAAACGGGCGCGGGAAACCGAGCATCAGAACACCTTTTGTGTTTCCTCGGGAAGACGCGCAATGATGACGCATGCGTGTGATGACGTCACTTTGAGAAAGAAACCGCGCGTCAGCATTTCAATAAATTCAAATGTTCACTCGTTCCCTCTCATTCATGCAGCCGTCTTCAAGCATGGTCAAATTCTCCCAAAATAAGGTTCGCGGTTCCGTCCATCGGGGACGCACCTCGATGCATCGCCGACGAACGGAGGGACTAACTGTATAGGGTCAAATTCGGCCCATTACGTCTCCACGTTGGTAGGAACGACCAACGAATATATGCTAACCGAAGTGAGGGAACGACCTAAGAATGTCGGCGTGAAGTGTGTCAACGGTTCCGTCGTCTCTCTCTCTCTAAGGAACGCGACTAATCTCTGTATTATTTTATTATTTTAAGGAGGGTCTCCTATTATATAAAGGAGGATCCCAATGTTGTAAAGGGGGGATTGATTATTGAACAAGCTCTCTCTCTATCTCTCTCTTGAATATCCAATCTATTGGAAGCTATAACAAATATAATACACATATCTAGGTCTTATTATCTTCGATTACGATTGATCCTTGATTCATTTTGATTGTTCTCACTTATAAGGTATCTAGTATCCTTTGAGTCAAACAGATTTGACATGGAGATTTGGGAGGAAAATTCCTAATTGAATAGCTACGTGAGCTGGTCCAAGGGGTAGAAAATGAGAAGTCAATTAGGAACATGAAACCCAATTGATTTGTTGACTGAATTTGTTGACTTTCAGTCAACTCTCATTTCACACAAAAACCCTTCTCCTCCCTCATATTAATACCTCAAAACAAATTTCGATACACCGCAAAATTTTATTCTTTTTTCCTTCCCTCCAAGCGCGAGCGCGCGGGCGGAGTCTCTCTCTCTCTCAAACACACACAGAGTCTCTCTCTCTCATCCACAATCCATTTTTGTGTATCGCAAAATTAGTTATGGAGGGAGGTCAACAATACAATCCTCGAACAGTGGAAGAAGTATTTAGAGATTTTAAGGGTCGAAGAGCAGCACTTATTAAAGCTCTTACCACCGGTAACCACTCTCCCCAATTTCACAACTTTTAACCCATTTATTTTTATTTTGTGATTTTTTTGTTGTTGTGGTACTGCACTAATTTTTGTCGTCTCATGCAAATATATGGTTATAATTTAATGTTTTCTTCTGTGGGTTGTTGCAGATGTTGAAGAATTTTATCAACAATGTGACCCAGGTAAAGTTTTGTCTTTTTATTTTCAGAATGTTGTGTCAGTTATTACTATATATTTTTTCAAATACATAATTGTACAAAAATCTTGCTCTCCAGTACTTGTATGGATGCCGGCTGTGTTCCTGGTGCAATTTTTTGATTGATTTGGCTATTAATATGTGTATTCATGTTCCCATTTTCTTTTGTAATTATTACATTTTTTTTTTATCAAACCTTTTAAGAGCTTTCAATTTTTTTTTTAAAAAAAAAGAAAGAAGAAAAAAAAACTTTTTTATTACAAATTTGCTATGTAATTTTCTGTCGCTTTACAATGAATTAGGTGCAGTTTTCACATTTTGAAAAAATGTTTCTTTATATTGAAATCTGAGAGTTTTGAGATAAATAATTGCAAATGGGATTCCAAGCTATGTTAAAGGTTTACAAGTCATTCTTGACAAGATCGCCGTTCTTCTTGTTCCTTTCCTTCTTATTTTGGGTTATAGAAAGTGGAGCTGGAGTTATGTTGAGAGAATATGTACTTGTAGACTAAATGCACCAAAAGGCAGCTAGAGTCAAGTTGTTTTTAAGTTTGATTCTTGTTGTTTACGTTTTCACTCACAACACGTGTTTAGAAGACTTGCATAGTATGAATAATTCTTGCTAAATCTGGGTTAAATTTTGTAGTAGACTTTCTAATTGTGACAAAGCATTCCTTCAATGAGAAAAGAAGCTGATGAAGATTTCCTTCTTCCGTTTCTTTCAATATCTTCAAATGCTTTGATTTACACTCTTGTGGTCTACATTACCCAGTCAGAAGCTGAAACTATGTTTTTATTCTCATTCAAATGCAGAGAAAGAAAACCTTTGCCTTTATGGATTTCCAAGTGAACAGTGGGAAGTCAATTTACCAGCTGAAGAAGTGCCACCGGAGCTTCCCGAGCCTGCTCTGGGAATAAACTTCGCCCGAGATGGCATGCAAGAGAAGGACTGGCTCTCGTTGGTCGCTGTGCATAGTGATGCATGGTTACTTTCTGTTGCATTTTATTTTGGTGCTAGATTTGGGTTCGATAGAGCTGATAGGTATGTTTTCTGCTTTCATTTTTTCAAAATCTCTTTAGCCCAAATGAAATTTTTGTCTTTCCTAAATGCTGTTGCAACTTGGATCCTGAGCAAGGTTTATGAAGTTACGAATTAAAAGCTGACTTTTCTACATCAATTTCTAATCTACTTTCTTGCCTTGTGATATATCTCTACTGATTCATCTGTTATGATGTATGGCAGTATGGCACAAAAAAAAACCAGTATTAGTATTTGGCTTGTAACATGTGTCATTTACCTTTATTTGTAGCTAGTTCTTTTCCTATGTCTTTACTCTACTGTTTCGTCATATGTTAATTAAATTGATGCAGTTTATTGCTTTTTCATAACAGTGGTACCCGACCAGTTTGCGCACATCTTGACTATTCCACTGGGTACTTACTACTTCCCATCAACACATGTTCCCAGTAACTCTTTCTACCAAGGCTTAGCCCTTAGGCAGATGTGAAAAACCACCTAGTATCTTTTGTCTCTGCTGAGATTTGAACATCGGTCTCAGTTTTTCACCTACTTTATTGACCACTAGGCCACACCTTTGGGTGCGATGCAACTTATTGTTTTTATTGAGCAAAATTCAGATTAGGATCTTACTCTCTTTTCAGCTTTACGATGTAGGATGTTGGCACACTCCAGTCATTTCTTGTTTTTATTATAAATATTATTAACATCTCGTCCTCCTACTGCTGGTAGTTCTTCTTCATTTTCTGCTTTGTTTTATGATGACTGTACTACCATTAGTTTTCTGCTTCTCTGGATTCTTCTTCATGATGTCTCCTTCTCCTCTCCTCCTCTTCGTCGTTGTGGTGGTTGGTACCTTTGCTTCTCTCTTTTGCTCTCTCTTGCTGTCAACATTTCTTTTTCTCCTTTTATTTTTGTTTTATTCCGTTTTCTACTCTTAATTTTTTATTTAACTGATTGTTTCAAAAGTAAAAAGAAGATTTGCAAATGAGAAATTGAACAGAACAAGTCAATTCTTTTTTCTTTTTATAGTGAAAATCAATTTGTGGCTACAATTATCTATTGATTGCAGTTAAATCATATCTAATGATGTTTAATTTGAGCTGTTTGGATAAGTTTTATATTGTATATTGGATGCTGAACTTAGTTTTGGTAATTGCATTTTGATGTAATATATAGATAACTTTTAAGTTGTGCGCTTTACTTCATGCTTAAAGAATCGGGATCCTTGTTCGCCTTATACCCCCCTCCCTCCCCCCCCCCCCCCCTAAAAAAAAAAAAAAAAAAAAACCTGGCTCAATGGGAGTTGACCAAATAAATGCTCCTACGGTAACCTCTTCTGATGACCGGCCACTAACAGTACCAACTGTGCTAAGCTGAAAAGTAATGTATGTTGGAGTGTGAATATGTCCAAATCGGCAATCTTTAAATCTTTTGTTTTGAGAAGAACAATGAAAATTATAATCTAGCAATGTGGTATAGGTTGATCTCAAAGCTTGAAAACCATAACATTTTCAAAATCTCGTGGGTAGCCTCACAAGTCCAATAAAGGGATTAGTTGATTTAAGTGGAGTTAATGATTAAGGGTGTTGATCTTGTTTCCTTAGTTGGCACACTAAATAAAGTTTGTCATATGCTTGACATTTGTTCTGATAAGAAAGTGCCGAGCCCTTTTCTTTTCTCTTTTGCATAATGTTCGGGTGTTTACTCCGAGCTAATTTTTGTTCTATTTTGTAACACTAAAGTATTTTCTGGGAATCTAAAAGAAATGGGGGCAAAGAAGAAAGTTCTGGAAAGGAAAGGAAACCTGAGCTAGACTCTTGTTGGTACTTGCTTTAGTCGATAGCAGACTGTCGTACCTTTCTTCAGCTTTGACAAAAACTCTAAGCAGCTCTTTTTATCTTGAGTTTCAGGAGAAGATTGTTTAATATGATGAATGATCTTCCTACAATTTTTGAGGTTGTGTCTGGGACAGCCAAGAAACAATCAAAAGAAAAGTCATCAGTGTCAAATCACAGCAGCACCAAGTCTAAGTCAAACTCAAAGGTAGTGACCATGGTACCTTTATTCCATTTTCCCTTCTTCTTGACAGACGGAAGTTTTGCCTTTCTCATTTTTTTTGGATTGAATGCCGTAGCTGAACATAATCTTCATAAGTTCTTTGTTATGAGGTGATTACAAAATTTTATTTTTTAAGATTTATTTCCTCCACAAGGTAAGGGTAAGGTCTGCGTACACGCTACCCTCCTAGGCCTAATTATGTGGGATTATATTGGTTATGTTGTTGTTGCTAGTGCTAATATTATGATATTTGGACCTTTTAGGTTCTTCCATAACAGGGTGTTAAGTTAGTTTTATTACCTGTCTGATTTTAGGCAGCATTTCTTCTGTTTCAAATGGTAATATTTAGATTTTAGGCTTCTTAGATTCTTGAATCATGTGGTGTGAATCTCTTCGGCATGTGTACCTCTCAGTTAAGCATTGTTGTTGTACCCTATGCTATCTGATACCTTAGTTTACTTATGTGAAATAGCAGATGTTCTTCACTTCAAGACTTTAGTCCAATACCTAATGTTAATAACTATACAAATTTCCTTTTTGGTGTTTGAGATGTTGCTGGACGTTAGTATGAATTAGATACACTTTCTCCAAACATGTTATAGGTTTGTTCTAGCCCTGATCTCATTGGTAGATAGGCTGCTTATGTCTTTAATAGGTTTTCAACCAAAACTAAAGGAGAGTTAAAATAGACTAACCTGCAGACCATTCTCCTTCAGACTGAATGGATAAGCCATCTGTCTAGAAAACCTGAACAGCCTGTTTGAAATAAACAGAAAATTTGACAGCGCGCTGACTTCTTAAGTTGAGACATTTTGCACTTGTTAGTTTTTATGTCTACAGAGATGTTATTCTGTAAAAAAACTGAAAGTGGAATTACTGTTTCATGTGCCAATTTTAAGCGTGTTCAATTTGATCATAGGTGGCACAACGTGGACCTGAATCCCAGGTCAAGTATTCAAGACCACAACCAAAAGATGAGGATGAAGATGGCTTGGAAGATGACGAGCAAGGAGAAACACTATGTGGGGCTTGCGGCGAAAACTATGCATCTGACGAATTCTGGATCTGCTGTGACATATGTGAGATATGGTTCCATGGGAAGTGTGTTAAAATCACTCCTGCTAGGGCAGAACATATCAAGCAGTACAAGTGCCCATCTTGCAGCAGCAACAAGAGAGCACGCCCTTGATTGCACCTTCTTTATTGGGGCACACTTCGTGGAATTGGGAATTGTTAGCTAGATCTTTGTCCAGTACGAGAAATGGAGATTTTTCAAGAGGCTCTTGAATGTCAGATTTGTTTCTAGTTTGAGTTATGTTGTCCTGCGTGTTGTTTATTATGTAGGTTGCACATCTGAATTATTTCTGCAGGTTAAAGTGATGGTTTCAAGATTGTTGAGTCTTAATTAGTGTCTATGCTATTAATGGAAGCTGTTTTCCTTAGCAATATGGCAAGGATACATTGCTCTTCAAAATCGCGTTTCATGACCTGGGGTGGGTTTGTTCAATCCAGACTGAGGTGTCACGTGGCCCAATAAAATTATGCCAGCTCATTAAAAAAAGGGGCCACACAATATTCCGTTAGTCGCGGGGTAATTTCAAACTTATAACGTTTGATGTATTTTCAGACAAATAGGTGGACGGAGCTCCATAGTAAACCATTTATTAAACGATAAGAGTATTTTTGGCCCTTTTTCGTATATAATATATCATAGTATTCAATCAAATAGCATCACATAAAATAAAACAATGGAAGTAAACTGAATAGAAGGAGCCTGTAACGATGAAAAATATCTTTGAGATTGAGCACCCATACAGGAAAGCAACTTATGTATTCCCTGTTAAATTAATCTTTTCAGTAATTAGTCTAGAACTCCTTATTTGATTAAACTGTTGGCTATATTTTATGGATATTTCACAGATAAAGTTATCTTCCGAAGATTGAATCAATTAATTTAACCACTCCTTCGTCTTATCTTTGGATATTCAGAAAAGTTGATTATTGAACTAAGGCGACTGACTTGTCACATTCACTAGTAACAACACTGTATTTCAAAAAGGAAAAAATAAAATTAGTTTTTATTACATGAGCTTAAGATTATTTTAGTTCTTGATATATACTCTTCAACACAAGTAATTCTTAATGTTTGCAAAATGTGGACATATTTAGTTCACAAACCTAAACTTAATTGTAGACAAAAATTTAGAAGTCAAAGACACATTAAGTTTTTTTTCTCCAAAGAATTAAAACTTCTAATTTTAAATCGGTCATAATAATTGTGATTATAAAAGCACGTCAAAGATGTTAAGTACTATATTTTAAATGGAAAAATAAAAGATAGTGCCACATGAAATAAAACTCAAAAAATTATAATATAAATCATATCACTCTGATCAATTGGATTTTTCTTCTTTCATATTTCATAGGTGCAAAGGAAAGGGTAGATATAAGGAGCCACCTAACCTCTGACCAACAGTTGCTGTCTCTTGAGGAAAGACAAGGACAATCACACTTCAACACTTGATAACTTTTGTTAGTCAAACAATTGAAGAACTTTTTGAGATTACAAAAAAAGGACAGGTCTAAATTTGTTTACAACCATTTTCCCACCACAACACTTTTTCAGGAACTTTGGAGCAACGGTAAAGTTGTGTGATCTATAGTTCAAGGGTTCAAATCATGGACGCAACCACTAATACTTGCATTACGATAGGATATCTACTTTACACTCCTTGAGTATGGCCCTTTCTGGACCCAAAGTGAACGCGAGATACTTTGTGTATTAAGCTGCCCAACACCTTTTTCATGCTTACAAGTATCAACCAACCAATACAACCCTAGAGATTATGAATATGTATGTACCACAACTGGGAATCTAGGTGATTCTTTCTATACTTTACTTACCTCCTATTGCTTAACTAAGAAAAAGAAAAGAAATATAAAAGGACGTATGCCAAATCCACTTTGACATAAAGTGGCATAGAAAATGGTCATGGTATGGGTCCCAAAACAAGGAGCACATTTGGATTTGCTTAAAAAAGTAACTTTTCAATATAAATAATTTTTAAGCCAAAAAATAATAAGTTGGATTTGCCCAACTTATTGCTGTTGACTTGTTTTAAGCAGTTTTTAACTTTGTGAAACACACGAAAAAACTAAAAAGAACTTAAAAACTGATTTGACACGCTTATAGGATAGGAGCAGGACAAGAGACAACATGAAAGACAAAACAATATTTACTAAATATTGCTACATTTTTCTTTACAAAATCTACACTGTGTTATACTACAATTTAGTCAAAAGATAACAAAAAAGAAAGCTGCAAAAGGATTGAACATATAGAACAACATTTTCTCCCCTTTCCCTGTTTAGTTTCTTTGCTGTTTGTATGCAAGATTTCATCAAACAAAGCTCTCTTGATTCTTGGTGGATAACCTCTTGAGGAACTCATAAGTAGTGATCATAGTTATTGCAGACATAGACATTGATGCCCATCTTGGACCTAATCCTCTATAACATGCACCTAATCCACCTTCCTTCACTAAATTCCTCACTGTCTCTATAATTGTTGGTCTTCTCCTACAACACCATTCTTGATCATCTAACACTTGCAATCTTGTCTTCACTGTGTCAAGTGGCATTGTCACTAATGCAGATATTCCACTAGCCAATGCTGCACTCAACCCTTGAACTGCCACCATAGCCTTCCCCTTTGGCTGCGTATAACTATACTCATCGTCTTTTTTGCAAAAATAGCCACCAATAGAACCCCAAATCACTCTATGAGCAATAGAGTATGAACCCCACCAAACTGCATTTGAAGGTGCATAAGTCAGTATTGAAATACCAAATCCTCTATACAATCCCCTCAAACCATCACTACCAATTATCTTTCTACACGCGTCGATCCCACCATTATAATACTTCAATCCAACAACACCACAGCTAGAATTTCCATTTCCTTGTACCATTAATCTCTGACTCACAACATCAACCGGGGTCCACACAAATTGGGCCGCCAATGCAGCGCTAAGACCAGCAGCTGCATTGGCAATGGCCGAGGAAGATGCCTCGGCCAATCCCAACTTAGTAGTAACAGTTCCAACATTGCTTTTGGTCATTTCAAGCACGCCCATATAAAGGGCACGTGCAGGAATGGTCCCCGTGAGGGAAGTACCAAATCCCCTGTAAAATCCTCTGTACCCTTCATTCCGCAACATGGATACTGCCATTTTTAGACATGGTATGTGCTTACTCATAACTTGCTGCCGCGTTTTCAACACTACAATCGGATACAGTGTGCCCGAGATACCAGAAAATAGCGCAGCACCTAAGAAAAAAAACTTGGATTTGTCAAGCATTTTCCAATCTATATCTGCAGGAAGTTGGATTTTTGAAGTTGATTCATCCTCTGCCATACTCAAGCTCATTTTCACCACTTCTCAAATTCGCTATATATTAAAACGCCTCAAACTAACAACTAAACTCACTTAGTATCTAAAAAACCACCTAATATATACTGGAAAGAAAGAAAAAGAACCCTATCAAGAATGAATTATAAAAAAAAAGATAAAAGAGAAAAAAGGATGAGAAAAACGGAAAACTAAAACCAACCCTAGTAGTACTAACTTGTGGAGTTCTCAAATAGGTCAAGCTCAGATCAATGAAAGCTGCACATATAAAATTACAATGTAAATTGCTTTTGTGTTACTTTTTGCTTTTGTGGAGGCTGATTTGAGAGCTAAAATGAATCAGCATAGAAGGATGTATCATCTCCTCGGGGGAAATTCAAGCCTATTATTTCTAAGAGAGAGAGAGAGTTTTTGAAAAGTGAGAAAGCTCGATTTATAGAGAGTGTAACAGTGAAGAGGTGGGTTGTGGATCTGAAGCCGAGGGTTTGTGCATGTGGACACGTGTCAATCAACATATGAGATCATGACCATTTAACATAAGTTAAAAGTGTTATCGTTTATACGTCATTCACCTCAATTATGTATTTTAGTAATGTATACGTCAAAATCGGGCTCGCCCCTTGTGTGACTAATCAAGATATAAGGTTCGACCTCGTGTTATATCGAACCATAGTGTAAAGTTAGATCGTCGAGTTCGTGACCCAGAGACCGATCAAGATCGAGAACGAATAAGATAGAGACCGAGCAAGATCGAGGGAAACTTACCGAACCAAATAACGGAAAGCTGAAATATCCGTAATCGATCGAGGATCACGGCGGAAATCCCTGCACGTATCAAGAAGAGGCTGATTAATTAGCTAATCATGAGATTTCTTACCTCATATAGAACTGTATCAAGAGTAAGACTCCCTTACTATATAAAGGGGGTCTGATCATATGTAAAACACATTATTCTTTACGCAACATAAAGCAATATACTGTCATTTTCTAAATTTTATTATCATGTTACTTTGTTCACACGTCTGTTGAAATATCTTTGGTTCAAGGGTGACAGAACTCGAGAGCCAAGGCTATTCGATTCGTGTGGTTTGCATTTATTCATTTGTCGTCAATTTCAATATTAATCTGTCTTCTTAATTTGTGCAAAGTTATATCACGTATCCTTAAAATCGCGTATAAATTTAATTGTTATACGTTTTTTAGGGTTAACAGTTTGGCGCCCACCGTGGGGCTAAGGAAATAGTGATTACCCGGTACAAACTTTCGTAACACACACTATTTTACACTTGTTCTTTGAAGTATCTTTGATTACAAGACTAAAAAATGTCAAACTCTCAGTCATCACCTCTACACATTGACAATGATTTCGGCCACCAGGACGAAAATGATAACATAGCACCAGGGAACGATGTACCCCCGGTTGGCCTCGATGGAATTCCGGCTGTAGATCCAATCGACGTCAGCTCACACGTAGCCATCAACGAAAATTTGGCCGTCGATCCCAAAGGCAGCGTCCGTGGGGATGTTCGATCAGCCGCTCAAAACGCACGTAGCGGTGAAGATGGCAGGATCAGCCTGGGGGTGATCTTAGAAATATTACAGGCTCAGCAGGAATCAATAGCCCAGCTCCAAAACCAGAATCACCCACCGAGCAAGGTCGAGCTCAAGCCGTCCCAGGAAGTTGTACACAGGTCGAATCGATTTCAAGAAAATTGAACGATAAAGAATTGGAGACCAATCCTGTAATCATGAAGATGCTCGAAGAACTGACAAAGCGAATTGAGGGGGAAAAGAAGATCGAGAAAAACGACAAAAAGGTGGAAACTTACAACTCCAGGGTCGATCAAATCCCGGGGGCACCGCCAATATTGAAGGGACTGGATTCCAAAAAGTTCGTACAAAAACCTTTCCCCCCGAGTGCAGATATTCCCAAGAAGTTTCGCATGCCCGAGATTCCTAAGTATAATGGAACGACCGATCCAAACGAGCACGTCACCTCTTACACGTGTGCTATCAAAGGGAATGATCTAGAGGATGACGAGATAGAATCTGTCTTGCTAAAGAAATTCGGGGAGACCCTGTCAAAGGGAGCTATGATATGGTACCATAATTTACCACCTAATTCTATTGACTCATTTGCTATGCTTGCAGATTCTTTCGTAAAGGTACACGCCGGGGCCATCAAGGTCGAAACCAGGAAGTCAGACCTTTTCAAGGTAAGGCAGAAGGACAACGAAATGCTCAGAGAATCCGTATCTCAATTACAAATGGAACGGATGGACTTGCCACCAGTCGCTGATGATTGGGTTGTTCAAGCTTTCACTCAAGGACTCAAGTTCGAAGCTCAGTGGCTTCACAACAGTTGAAGCAAAATTTGATAGAATACCCGGCTGTTACTTGGGCCGATGTGCATAATCGGTATCAATCAAAGATCAGGGTTGAGGACGATCAACTTGGGGCTCCTTCTGGGTCCGTTTATCCTATCAGACCCGTCGATAGAATCAAAAGGGATATTGACCGAGAATCGAGGTCGCATAGAGATCGATATCAGCCGTATAATGGAGATTGTAGGAGCAGCGGATCTGGGCGAAATTCTGCACGAAATGAAAGGAGAAGTGATCGAGGTCAAAGTTCTCGAGGGCTCATGAGTAATAACGGCTTCAATAGACCTATCAGACCCAAAGAGGCACCACGATTATCAAAGTACAACTTTAATGTTGATGCGGCTGCCATCGTATCGGCTATCGGAAGTATCAAAGATATCAAGTGGCCTCGACCTTTACAAAATGATCCAACACAAAGGGATCCCAACCAAATATGCAAATATCATGGCACACATGGCCACAGAACAGAGGATTGTCGATAATTGAGAGAAGAAGTAGCCCGATTATTCAATAACGGGCACCTTCGAGAATTTCTAAGCGACCAAGCAAAGAATCATTTCAGAAACAGGGATTCCAATAAACAAAAATGAACAAGACGAGCCCCAACACGTCATTCATATGATCATTGGAGGGGTCAATGTTCCTCAAGGTCCGATTATAAAGCGCACCAAAGTATCAATCACAAGGGAAAAATGGACTCGAGATTACATACCATAATGAACTTTATCTTTCAACGACGAGGATGCAGAAGGAATCATGCAGCCCCATAATGATGCACTGGTAATTTCTGTACTCATGAATAAAACTCGAGTTAAACGTGTGCTAATTGATCCAGGTAGCTCGGCCAACATTATTCGATCGAGGGTCGTAGAGCAACTCGGCCTACAGGACCAAATCGTACCTGCGGCCCGAGTGCTAAACGGATTCAACATGGCTTGTGAAACTACTAAGGGAGAAATAACATTTCCGGTAAACGTAGTCGGTACCACCCAGGAGACCAAGTTTTATGTAATCGAAGGGGACATGAGGTACAATGCCCTGTTCGGGAGGCCATGGATCCACAACATGAGGGCTGTTCCCTCGACCCTTTACCAGGTATTAAAATTTCCAACACTATAAGGGATAAATACGGTTTACGGGGAGCAACCTGCCGCAAAGGAGATGTTTGCCGCTGATGAAGTAATCCCGATATCAACACTCTCATCGGCAAAGAAATCAGGTTCGAAAGCAAAACAGGAAGCCAAATAGCAATCACTAATGCCAGCCTCGACCCAACTGGACAAGTAAGGGATTGACGAAGACGACGATTACGGGGTTCCTCGATCCTTTAAAGCTCCCGATGATTCCGACGCTACCAAATCAATGGTCGAAGAGCTGGAGCAGGTCGTGCTGATCGAACATCTGCCGATCGAAAGGTATACCTGGGCACGGGGTTAACTCCCGAGCTCAGGAAAAAGCTCATTCAATTTCTTATAGCTAATATGGATTGTTTTGCTTTGTCCCATCTCGATATGACAAGGATCCCACCGGATATCACTACTCACAAGCTGAGCTTGGACCCGAAGTTCCATCCGGTAAAGCAGAAAAGGAGACCCCAGTCCGAGATCAAGCATTGCTTCATCAAGGACGAGGTAACTAAACTCCTTAAAATAGGGTCCATCCGGGAGGTCAAATACTCGGAATGGTTAGCAAACGTAGTAGTAGTTCCTAAAAAAAGGAACAAACTAAGAATGTGTGTGGATTATAAAGATTTAAATAAGGCATGCCCCAAAGACTCTTTCCCTTTGCCTAACATCGATCGCATGATCGATGCCATGCCACGACATCCTCAGTTTTCTCGATGCCTACTCCGGGTACAACCAAATACGGATCAACACGGATGATCAAGAAAAGACCTCTTTCATCACCAAGTATGGCACATACTGCTATAACGTGATGCCATTTGGATTAAAAAATGCCGGTGCTACTTACCAATGCCTAGTAAACCGAATGATCGAAGAATAAATAGGAAAATCCATGGAAGTTTACATTGACGATATGTTAGTTAAGTCCCCGTGAGCAGAGGACCATTTAAAGCATTTGCATGAAACCTTCAGTATATTGAAGAAGTACAACATGAAGCTGAATCCAGAAAAGTGTGCGTTTGGAGTCGGATCGGGTAAATTCCTCGGGTTTATGGTGTCCAACCGAGGAATCGATATCAACCCCGACAAGATAAAAGCTATCAAGGATATCACGATAGTGGATAATGTCAAGGCCGTACAAAGGCTAATCGGGCGCATTACAGCACTGGAGCGATTCATCTCGAGGTCTTCCAATAAAAGCCATTGATTTTTCTCATTGTTGAAGAAGAAAAACAACTTCACATGGACCCCGGAATGCCAACGGGCTTTAGAAGTACTTAAGCGATATTTATCGAGCCCACCATTGCTTCACACGTCGAGGGCAGACGAACGACTATACTTGTATCTAGCAGTATCGGAAATTGCGGTAGGTGGAGTCCTAGTCCGGGAAGAACAAGGTACGCAATTTCTAATTTATTATGTTAGCAGGACCTTAGGTGAGGCCGAAACTAGATATCCTCACCTAGAAAAATTGGCACTCGCTTTGCTAAGTGCCTCTAGAAAACTGAAACCATATTTTCAGTGCCATCCTATATGTGTTGTGACAACCTACCCTTTACGAAATATAATGTATAAACCCGAACTCTCGGGACGATTGTGCAAATGGGCCGTAGAAATCAGTGGGTACGATATCGAATATCAACCACGAACAACCATTAAATCTCAAATTTTGGTAGATTTCGTGGCCGACTTTACGCTGACCCTAATACCCGAAGTCGAAAGAGAGTTGTTGGTAAACTCGGGAACGTCTTCGGGAATCTGGACCCTCTTTACGGACGGTGCCTCGAACGTAAAGGGGTCTGGACTTGGCATCGTACTAAAGCCACCCACAGGCAATATAGTTAGAAAATCTATTAGAGCTGTAAAGTTGATTAACAACGAGGCCGAATATGAGGCCATGATTGCAGGTCTCGA